GCTTTAAATCTATATGAGTTTTTCAGCTCAAAAAGTGCAATGTTTGATATACTAATATTTACTTTTCCTCTCTATTCCTTCTCCTAAACTTAAGGAAAGGTTAAAACTTCCTTTAGATTAAGGGTGAAGAAGATTCCTTCTTCAGCTCTAAAAGAAGAATTAGTAGGTTACAGAGTTGTGTTAATTTGGAAGTCCATCTACAGTTACATTTTTTCAATGATTCCAGGATGGTAGAACAATTGGATTTATTGATTAGAACATAAGAAGGTTAGTTAGTAGAAAAAACAGTAATGCAAACCCATAAATCTTACCTGATTTGGAAGATTTCTCTGCAAATCCACCCCACATCTCCATTATGAAGAGTTCACCAATAAAAGAAATCTGACATTGTATTTCCATTATTTAAGGTCTCAAGAGGGTTTTCTCTCTCTTGAGAAGAGAAAGTGAACTTGGGATGTTTTCATTTGTTTAGTAGCAACTCTGGTCAGATGCATGAGTCCTTCTGGCTGAGAACCCTGTTCATTGTAGCCCAAGAGGACAACAGAATGGCAGGAAGACTTAGAGTAGCTCACACCTTCATTACTATAAGGTTGGATTTCTGCAATATATTTTATGTGGAGCTGCTCTTTAGCATTATTCAGAAACTATAAGAGGTTCAAAATGTGATGGTCATGTCCTTAACTGCCTCTTGGTATTGGGAGTACAGAACACTGAGGTTGTGGCCTGTGTACTAGTTAAGAAGGGGTACGATGGCTCACTGGTTAAAGATGCTGAGCTTGTCGGCTGGAAAGCTGACAGCTCAGGTTTGAGACCCAAGCACCTCACAATGGGGTGAGCTCCCATTGCTTACTCCAGCTCCTGCCATCCAGCAGTTCGAAAGCATGCAAATGCGAGCAGATGAATAAGTACCACTTTGGTGGGAAAGTAACAGTGTTCCATGCACTTTTGCTGTATTGCCATGCTGGCCACATGACCACAGAAATGTTTTCAGGCCAAGAAATGTATTCTTGGCCAAGAAACAGAGAGTCAGACATGACTAGACAGAAACTTTACCTTTATTCCTAGTCAAGAACATGAGCAGAGCCCTTTGTGGCCTATCCTGGTCCATCTAGTTCTGGAGTCTGTTCTCACAGTGGCCAACCAATTGCAAAAAATCCACAAGTCTTCCAGCAGATGCCCTTCAGAGACAGTCCTACTTCCATCCAGGCTAATAACCAATGTTTCCCATGACTTCCATGAATTGGTCCACCCTTTTCTGAAGCCAGCGTAGGTAGTACCAGCACCACATTTTGTAGTAGCAAATTCCCAATTTGAATTAATCGCCAATTGGTTTGGAGGTACAACTTGAGGCATTTGTGTTGACTGCAGACTGACCTGCTCTAAAATATTTGGTCCTAATCTTGTAGAAGCAGCTGCTTGCAAGTCCATCTTTGTATAGGAATGTAGAATGAGAAATTCTGGCATGCTCTCATGTTCAGTTATAAGATCTTACAAAAATAAAATAACATTCCTATAAGTCTTGCAATGCATGTTTCATGACCTGTCCTACCTCAAAGGGCTACACACACTTCCAGGATGAAAAAGGGGATGAAGATGTTGTGGTGTGTGTTTTTTTTTCTTTTGTTTGGTTTTGTGTTGTTTGTCTGTTTTCACTGAGGTTTTTATTTGCCATTATTTGTTTCAGTTGTCCTGTTGTTGTACCTTCTATTCAATAAGCCCACAGAAAGTTAAATTGACTTCACAAGCAAATACTATATAATTCTGATTTACCCTATTAAATAGAGTTCTCTGGGCAGGGGACAATTACAATTATTATTTTGGGGATGGCAAAACTTCTGCAATTGTTTTAAAAGTACAAACAATGTGGTAATTGGAATTTACTTAATTGATTGTTTTTTATCAGCAATTTCCACAGATAAATCAGTTGCTTCAAAGTTCTTCCTGTAATGAAAATCACCTACCAAAACAGAACTGTCTCTATATGAAATTCTAACAAAAGGTTTTTGTTTTTTTTCCCTCTATGTGAATGTGCTCACTCACTCAATCAAAATAGAGTTGAAACAGATCTTGGAGGTCTTCTAATCCAACCTCCTGTTCAAGCAGGAGACCCTATACCATTTCAGACAAATGGCTAGCTAGTCTCTTCTTTAAAACCTCCAGTGATGAAGAACCCACAACTTCTGATGGCAAGCTAATTGTCTTCACTGTTCAGAAGTTTCTCCTTAATTCCAATATGCTCCTTTCCTTGATTAGTTTCCATCCATTGTTTCTTGTCCGGTTGTCTGGTACTTTGGAAACTAAATTGATCCCTTTCTGTTTGTGACAACCTCTCAAATACTGGAGTACTGCTATCATGTCCTCCCTAGTCCTTCTTTTCTCTAGACTAGCCAAACTGAAATCTTGCAACTGTTCTTCATGTGTTTTAGTCTCCAAACCTTTGATCATCTTAGTAAATCAGTGTTTCTCAACCTTGACAATTTTAAGGCATGTGGACTTCAACTCCCAGAATTCCACAGCCAGCATTGCTGGCTGTGGAATTCTGGGAGTTGAAGTCCACATGCCTTAAAATTATCAAGGTTGAGAAACACTTGTCTTAGTTGCTCTTCTTTGCACTTTTTCCAAAGTCTCAATATTTTTTTTTTTTTTGCAACGTGATCACCAAAACTGGATACAGTATTCCAGAACTTCAAACTATTGGAACTCAATAGTTTGAAGCCACTCTTCACTTAGGAACAATGAAGTTGACATGTTTGTATTTTGATCCTGCATTACAATGTCAGCATAGTAGTCGCATAATCCAATTAATTTTCACTTACTACTGTATATAGTCCCCAAATAACCTTTTGGCTCATCCTTACATCATGTTGATACTTTATGGTAGTAACAACCATGCTTGTTTGCTAAACAGTGTAGTTGCTTTTGTAGAAAAGACCAAACTAGAAACCATATTTTATGAACAACAGTTCTTGGACCTCAGAAAACTAAAGCCAACAGTTCATGAATGAGCTGGTCCATTTGACAAATTAAACCAAAAGGAACATTCAAGAGCACTTTTCACAGACAGCATTCTCAGATATCTTTTCCAAGGTTGATTGCCTGCATTCCAACATTTAAAGCTAAATGTTTTCCATATTTTAAACCCTTCCTTTAAATGAAATTTTATTTTCTCTATCTCTTGTGAATTTGGTTTATATCTAATGGGAGTGGAAATAGTCAGATCTAAGCACAGGAACAACACAGTGAGAGTCAATCAACTCCAGTTCTTTATTTCTGTACAACAAATAGACAAAATCTTGCCACACTAAAGTTATAACTTTCTAATCTTATAGATATGCCCTGGGAGATAGTATGGTGTGGCTACTCTGAATCTTTTCCTCCCCACCCCATCCAGCTCTGGTTTATGCATCCCAAAGGTCCTTTTTCACAAGGCAACTGGACTTTCTCTTTTCTCTTTGAAGACGTTTCGCTTCTCATGCAAGAAGCTTCTTCAGCTCTGACTAGACAGTGGGGAATGGAAGGATCATCATCATCCAGTCAGAGCTGAAAAAGCTTCTTGGATGAGAAGAGAATCATTTTCAAAGAAAAACAAGAAAATACAGATACCTTGTGAAAAAACACCTTTGGGACAACCATGACCTGGATGACTGAGAATCTCCACAGACATCTTGTCTTGGGCCCCTTTCTGAAACATGCTGCCTCTTCCTTGGGAAGCCATGGTGCTACTGCTGACATTTTCCCTCAGTCCTTCTTCAGAAAACCTGAAGATGCCATATAGCTTGAACTTGATGTTACAGTATTTAATTTATTTATGTACTTATTTAGCAATTACTATGTCAGAAAGTTACACAGGAGCTCTCTCGTATACACATATGTTGGGATTAGTGAGGGGGATGTCAGGTAACAAATCATAAGACACTATGGTAGAAGTGATGGTGTTACCTAATTGTGTAATGAAATATCTGTAAGAAAGTCACCAAGCTCAGAGAGTACCAAAGACCCAACAGTTAAAGCCTGAGCTATAAATATTCTCTCCAATTGGTATTTGAAAAATATATATGCTCCTCTCTGATTTTACTTATATAAACCTGGATGGCTAATAACAATTCACAACACACCCCAAAACAGATAGAAACCTTTCATTATTTAATTTATCTGCTTTTCAACAGTTTTTAAAACCAGTTTCATAGCCTAGATCAGGGGTAGGCAACCTTGGCTCTTTTATGAGTCGTGGACTTCAACTCCCAGAATTCCTGAGCCAGCATGGCTCCGCTTGGAAACCTCTCCATTTCTCCTCAGCATGGCTGGCTCAGGAATTCTGGAAGTTGAAGTCCACGAGTCATAAAAGAGCCAAGGTTGCCTACCCCTGGCCTAGATTATTACATTTCATAAAGTAGATATACTGCTTTTTCTGGTCAAAGACCAACCCCCCCCCCACACACGATTCAAAAGAAAAATTAAGTTAGATTTAATTAACATTTAATTTCATCATCCCCTGAATATGTTCCTTCATCAAGCTAGAATAGCCATCCAATATTTGCTTGGCTTCAAGGCAATATAAATTACGAACACCATAATTACAAATTACAATTACAAGTTCCACAGTTATTATGAAATATACAGAAGTATTATTTTAAAGAACAGTAATGTCTTTTCTTTAAGGATCATACTTTTGTATGTCCCTTAATAGTATTTAAACTAAGAGCATACTTTCATTGTACTCTAGTCCTTCATTGTTTGGCATATTTTTGTACTTCAAAACTCATAAGAATGATTTACTTTCAACTATAAAAGATCCTAGAAGGGAAAAGGCTCTGATCTCTTGACCAAGATCTAGACCAATGAATCCACGAATCCCAATTTTCCGGGAACAGTGTCCTTTTTATAGCATCTTTCATCTTCTTGTTCCTCAAGCTATAGATGAGTGGATTGAGCAAGGGGGTCAGCACCGAATAGAAAAGCGTCACCACTTTGTTGCTTCCTCCTGAAGCTTCGGGGACTACCTAAGTGACCATTACTGAGCCATAGAAAAGGCTTACCACTATTGCATGTGAGGTACATGTGGAAAATGCCTTCTGTCTCCCAGTGCTTGAAGGGAGCCTCATTACTGTCCAGAGGAGAGTAGCATAGGAGCAAACAATGAAGAGGAACACACCAAAAATAGTGATGGAGCTGAGGCTGTAGAAGCCCAGTTCTATGCCTAGGGCTGGAGTGCATGAAGAGGCCAACAGCGGCCCTGGGTCACAGATAAAGTGATCGAGGACATTGGAGCCACAGAAATGGAGCTGGGAAATCAAAACGATGGGTGCCAGAAACCAGAGAAAGCCAGAAGCCCAACAGGAAGCAGCCAGGATGCAGCAGAACTTTTGAGACATCAGCAGTGGGTATCTCAATGGGTGGCAGATGGCCAAGTATCGGTCTAAGGCCATTGCAGCAAGAAGGAAACTTTCGGTGGTCCCCATAGAAAAGAAAAAATAGAACTGGAGAAAACAGCCATGGAAAGAGATGACACCCGGCAGTGGAGAGGCCAAATCGAAGAGCATCCTGGGTACCGTGGTGGTTACGTAACACATCTCTAGACCCGAAAAGTTTCCCAGGAGGATATACATGGGCAGGCGGCTGAGTCGAGAGTCCAAGAGAACAGCCCATACGATGCAGAGGTTCCCCACCAAGGTGAAGGCGTAGCAGATGGAAAGTAGGGAGCATAGGAGCAGCTGGAAGGAGGGCGAAAGGGATGGGAAGCCCAGAAGAACAAAGCCCTTCATCACCCTGGTATGGTTGACTTGATCCAAAGGGTTGTACCTCTGTTGCTAGAAGAATCAAATTGGGGAAATGATCAACTTGATTTTTTAAAAATAGAATTTGATTAAAGTGTTAAGATGAAAGTTAGAACTAACAACTAATATTTAGAAGAAAAGGAAGGAAGGAAAGAAGGAAGGAAGGAAGGAAAGAAGGAAGGAAGGAAGGAAGGAAGGAAGGAAGGAAGGAAGGAATGAAGGAGAGAGAAAGAGAAAGAGAAAGAAAGAAAGAAAGAAAGAAAGAAAGAAAGAAAGAAAGAAAGAAAGAAAGAAAGAAAGAGGGAGGGAGGGAAGGAGGGAGGAAGGAAGGAAGGAAGGAAGGAAGGAAGGAAGGAAGGAAGGAAGGAAGGAAGGAAGGAAGGAAGGAAGGAAGGAAGGAAGGAAGGAAGGAGAAATCAATAGGGAGAAAAGAGAGAAAAAATACAAAGAAATGACTCCTGATTTTCTTTTACAGCAGTTATAACTTACTATATAGTTACAACTTTACTTATATTTTATCTCTGATCTATTTTTTGTTCTAAACATCATAATCATCATTTCATATTTCCAATCTTCATTGAACTTAGATGCCTTTACTGTCTCTCAGTAAAACAGAGAGATAGCGAAGACATAAGTCCTCTCAGCAACTGCATCATCTTCATCCCTCAGACCACCATTGTGGCTAAAACTGAATCTTTCCACATTTGTTAATATAACAATCGCATTATAAATTTCATGTACAAAAACAAAGTTTCATGGGTTTTTTTCCCTCTCCTTATCCTTCAGTCCCAAAAGAAAAGTCTCTACTTTTAATTATATATTCATCCTTAAAATATTCTGTATTATTAAATGCAATGCATTTTTCTAGCTTTCTTCCATGTCCACCAAACATGAATAAATGTTCCTTCATGGTAAAATGATCTCAGAGAAGCCATGCTACGATCTCCTTCCACATACTGGGTGGTCTCCAGATATATGGACTTCAAGTTTCAGAATTCTCAATAATTGCAATAATAGCTGCACAATTCTGGAGCTGAAGTCCATGTCTACCGGAAGTCTAAGATCACTATGACTAACCCTGACTGGAAGCTATGCTCACTGGCCTGATAACTCTCTGTTGAAGTTCTCCACTTCTAAATTCAGACAGGCAATTTCTTTTGGCGTGCCTGTTAGGCTGCTCATCTAGCCATCACCCAATAGACCTATTGTTGGATGAACATTAATGTCTCTATGACAGTCAACTATTCACAGGGCAGGAACCCTTGTAAAAAAAGAAATGTTGGAGAGTTCATCAAAGACTTGAGAACATATCTCTAGAAAACAAAAAGGGGGAAGTGGGCTTTGGAGTGATAAAAAATTTAAAGGTGGAGTTTATCCTATACAGTTGTCCCATCACCTCCTAAACTCATTTCCTGTCACTGCAATGTTATACAATCTACCCAAGCTAACTTCCCCCATCAGACCACAGCTTCTCACTAGTTTTTGTCCATCAGACACACATCTCACCAGTTTCGCTGTCAGGGACCACAGTCCAACATTATTCTTTCAAAACTCTGGATTGATTGTTCCTGAAATAGTCCTTAAAATGTATAAATCAGAATTCCTTACCACAGGTTCGGAGGCATCTAAGATGACATTCTCTCATGGTAATTTCATATGTCCAGATCTGGGGCACAAGTAAATTACATATGAGGAGAAAAGAAATAGTAGTATTAATCTTTATTTTATACAGAGAAACACGTGTGTAACAGGATATATGTTTTGATTCCTATGATCTTTGATTCAAACTTATTTATTATCTGCTATCAGCTCAGAGCTGACTTCTAGTGACTAGGTAACTAGACCTTCCCCAGAAGGATCAAACCTATTGCCTCAATGTATGCAGTTTTTCAAGTTTGCCAGATCTACAGGATCAATATTTTAAATACTGATGTTTACCTTTCCTCACTTTTCCTTCTCCTAAACTTAAGGAAAGGTTGCAACTTCCTTAAGGAACCAACTGAGGGCTCTTTCTTCAGCTCTAGAAGAAGAATTGATAGGTTAGAGAGAACTGAGTTTATTTGCACGTCCATCCACAGTTCATTTTTTTTTCATGATTCAAGGATAGAAGGGCAATTGGATTTAGAGATTAAAAGAAAAAGAAGGTCACATCGTGGAAAAAAGCACTAATGCAAACCTACAAACACTACCAGATTTGGAAGAATGCTCTGCAAATCCAGCCAGCTTCCCCTTTATGAAGAGCTCACCAATAAAAGCAACCTGGCACCGCATTTTCATTATTTAAGGTCTCAGGAGGGTCCTGTCCACAGAGAGTGATAAAGTGAAATTAGGATGTCTCCTTTTCTCTCCTGTTTATTTGGCAGTTTTGGAGTGGAAAAAGGAAGGATTAAAATTAAGGAGTGAGAGAAAGTCTTTTCCTCCATATTCTAACTCCATATTCCCCATCCCAATTTGTTTTTCTTTAAGTGAGAAGATTTGTCAATTTATCCCATAGGAAAAGACTAATTCTCCCTAGGCCAGTGGTGGCGAACCTATGGCACGTGTGTCAGAGGCGGCACTCAGAGTCCTGTCTGTGGGAACTTGTGCCGTCATCCCAGCCCCGCCTCCCTCCACCATCCCCTCCTCCCCAACAGCCTCCCCGGAGGAGAGTCGTGCCCAGGCACGGCCCGTACAGAGCAGCGCAACCAAGGACATGGCAACCGTGCAGCTGGGACAAGACTCCGCCCTCATGCCTCATCGCATGCAGTTGATGCTGCAAGGTGCAGGCAGAGGGCGTGGCCGCCATGGTGCTGCTGGGTCACCTGGGCGATCTGCGGCTGGCGATCTGCGGCTGGCAGTGAGTGGCCCTGTGGGTGGGCGGGGGTGGAGTGGGGGCAGGGCAGGTGGAGGCAGAGTGGGTGGGGCTAGGGGCAGAACTGGGGGCAGGCAGGGGCAGTGTGGGTGGGACTGGGGTGGAGCAGGGGCTGGGGGGGGCATTTTTGGGGCACTCAGTCTCTAAAAGGTTCACCATCACTGCCCTAGGCCATCCATCTTTGCCTATTTACTTTCACTGCATAATTTTAAAATATTTTCAATCAGTTTAACGCAAACTTTCAAGAAATTAATGCTCCTGTTTTTTTTCAAAAACGGTTTTCTTTCATTGGTCTCAGATTAGCATCATCTTACAATGGATCAGAATTTTGTAAAGCTTTTTTTTACTCCTAATAAAAATAAAACTTTTTTAAATAAAAGAACCTCTATGTATTCTGTTGAATTCTTGCTCTTGTCCCATTCATTTGCATGTGCTGGATGTCTTAATCAGAATAGTATATTTTCCAAGGTTGATTGCCTACCTATCAACATTGAAATGTTTTTCCACATTGTAAATCCTTTTTAATAACATTTTATTTTCTCTATCTCTTATGAGATTGGTTTGCATTCAATGCATGTGGGAAGAGTCATGCCTAAGTGCAAAAATGGCACAGTGAGATCCAGTTGAGTTCAGCTTTTAATTTGCTTCTACCTAATAGACAGAATCTTGCCAGACTAAAGTTATAGTCTTCTAACAGAATAGATATAACCTGGGAGATTCTACAGTGTGGCTACCCTGATCCTTTCCCTCCCTCCCTCATCCAGTTCAGGACTGTGCAGTCTGATGTCTTAGGCCCCTATCTGGAATATGCTATCTCCTCCCTGGAAAGTCATAGTACTATTGCCAATCCCCCTCCCCTCCTACTCCTTCTTCAGCTGCACATTCCATCAAAGAAAAGCTGCTACTTTCTGATGCTGTGTAGTATGGGGAGAGATTTGTTTATTTATTTACTAAGTAAGAAAGTAACACCAGAAGTGGGAGCCTTCTCTCAGACACATATCCTGGGGTCAGTGGGGAGGATGCCAAATAAGAAATGACGAGGTGGCAGCTAGTCCAAGAAGCAGAAGGTATGGGCCACTTGGCAGAGGGCTAAAGAGAAATGAGGTCTGGTTAAGAGTGCATTTGAGGGCATCTTTACCTTTGCTAACAGATGCTTGCAAAACATGGCTGTCTCTTTTTAAGAGCTTGATATTGTGACATTTTGACTAAGAATACGCTATATTCTGAGGTTACATTTTATGGAGAGATATGATAGTGTTTATGAATGGATCCAAGTAGTGATGTTATATGCTTGCCTCGTGTGTTTAATCATCTACAGATGTTTCAGCTCAATTTAATATTGCTGTCAGGCACATGTAATCTGGAACAGGAGTTCAGTTAAAGCACTTCAGGTTTATTACACATTATCTATACACAAGAATCTTTCTCTGCTAATGGTGCTAGATAAGAGTCAATGGAATTCAAGAAAGGGGATGGATTTAGGTCCCTTGCAGGAGCGGAACAACTCTAAACTGATGACATGTTTGATCCTGCCCTCCAGCTCTTCCTGGTCATCTCCTATAATTGTTTGTGTTGGCAAACCATCTGCTCTCATCTCTTTACAAAACAAATGAAACATAAAACAAGGTGGCAAGTTGATACTATTGTATTAAAAATATGATAGGAGATGCATTCAAGGATCTTGCAATACCGAACAGAAGTTCAATGTAAAATACAGCTGAGCCTTGACTACAAAGATAATATGGCTTTGAAAAAACAAACAGGCAGGTAGCCCTCAGTTAACAAGAGTAATTGGGACTGGAATTTCTCTCACTAAGCGGTAAAGCACAATGTCATGTGACCATGTCACTTAGTGATGGCAATCCCAGTACTCCCCACAGCCATCATTAAGTGTGGATCATCAGTTGTTAAGTCCCAGGTTGGCAAGCAGGTACAGTAAGGCATAGAGTGCAGGAGGGCCAGGTTTAGGTACCGCTGAGCAGAGGATGCTATATGAGTGGCCCATGAGGCATGGCATAAGCATGTTAGAGCTGCAGGTGATTGCTGGTGAACAGGGAAGGTTGCAAGCAACTTACCCAAGTAACTTGCAAGTAACTTCCTGCTGGCTTTCCCATTGACTTTTGGTAGCCAGCAAGGAAGGTCATAAATTATGATCACATAGGGCTGTGGATACTGCACCCATCATAAGTATGAGCTAGTTGTCAAGCACCCAGATCATGAACACATGATCGTGGGAGTGCTGGCAAAGCCGGAACTTTATGCCACGAAGGAAGGCAAATGTCCCAGGATAATGCTGCAGGATCCAATAAGGGTTGGTCACCAGGACCAAAGATTTAGTCTTCCGAGCTTTCAGACTCATGCTGGTGCCCTTCCTCAGGGAACTTCTCTCTCACCAAAATATGTGCCTTGGGCTATGTGATGACTGGCGAGGGATCCATTTCCCAGGCTTCAGTCAACAGGAGTGCTGATTTACCACCAGCTTATCTGGCACTTAGGAGCTGAGGATTTGGCAGCACAAGGAAACCACAGTCAATGACTTAGCAACTGGCCATCAACACCCCCAATCAACAACTAAAAAGCCACACACAACTTGGCACCACATAAATACTGCCCAGAGAATAGCTCAAAGCATGCACTCTGCTAGAGAGAAGTTTCCTGAGGGCTCCAGCATGAGTCCAAAAGCTTGGAAGACCAAACCTCTGGTGGCCGACTCAGATTGGATCCTGCAACTTTATGCCACTTTTAAGTTCTGCTTTTCAAGTGCTGTTGTAATTTTGAATGGTCCCCAAAGAAGAGATAGTTAAACCAGGACCACCTGTACTTTCTTTCTAGGGAATTACTTTCTTCTTTTATTTCCTCAGAGTTCTGCTCATCTTCCAGTATCTTTTCCCAGTTTATCAGCATTCTTTGGCCTTCTGAATGTTCTATGGCTAAGGTGACAATATAACTTTCCTGGGCAAGTGTTCTTGTAATAGGATATTTGCTCAATTTGATTCTATATAGCCAAGCCTAAACTCTTTCTCTAGGACAGGGGTGTCAAACTCAATTTCATTGAGGGCCGCATCAGCATTGCGGTTGCCCTTGGTGGGGTAGGGGGGCAGGGTGGGTGCGGCCTACTGGGTGGGTGTGGGTGGAGTGGGTGTGGCCTACTGGGTGGGCGTGGTCAGCTCTACATCGTTCATGTCAAGGGTGCCTGTGGGGGCCTGGGCAGGAGTGGGACAGATCTGAGGGTCTCTGGCAGAAGGGGGTGGGACCGGGGCAAGTGCCGAGGCATGGTCCACTGGAGGAGGGGGGGACTGGATGGTGGTGCAGGCTGCCGGGAGCCCTGGACAGCAGAGGTCAAATGCCCAGCCTGGCCCTCGAGCACCCGCGGCACCAACCCCAGCCCCACTTCCTCAAGGGGGCATCCAGCTGCACTTACCTGCTGAAACCCCTCCCCCAGAGCCCATCAAGCCGGATATGTGAAGTAGGCAAGGGCCATTTGCTGGCCACTTCCATGCATTTCTTCATTGCTCACAAAGGATGACACCTCCCCAGCATGCACCCAGGGGGTGGGGCTGACGCGGCAGGGGCTGGTTCCTCGCTGTTTCCAGATGGCCTTGTGGAACTAACACTGAATGCGTTTCAGCATAGATGGCCACCACAAAATTGTACATTGGCTCCCTCCTGGGTCAGGGCCAAGGCAACGGGGGCTGTTCCCTCACTGTTTCCAGGATGGCTTCACAGGCCACATGAAACCACTTTGCGGGCCGCATCTGCCCCGGGCCTTCTGTTTGACATGTCTGCTCTAGGAAGATGTATCTGGATTAGGGATTTTAACCTGACTCCACAAAATCTCTTATATTTGTGATAAGAAAGAAATGAAACAAAAATCCTTTGCATGATTCTTAGGAAAAAACAAAAATGGCAAGGAAATGGATCTAGCTATGCTTTCTCTCTCAAACTCTAACTTTCCATAGGCAGAAAGTATTTTCATATGATGGAAGGTGACCAAAATATTTGGAGGAAGGTGGAGGTTTTTAAAAGACTTTTAGGTCTTCACAAATAACTCCTGCATAATACACTATACTGGTTTGTTTACTCTACATTAAGCAAAAGCAAAACCCATTAGAAAAAATCACCTTTGGGAATAGTTCCCTAAATAGGAAGGAATTAATGATCTCCAAAGGGATGTTGCTTTGAGTTTCATTTGATGGACCCAGTCCAAATATTTAAAGTCAGCCTTCAAGCATAATTTTTGACTCTGGATCATTTTGCCTTTGGCTAATACCTTACATTCCTGCTTGCTACCATAACCAAACATCTAAGGCATTATCATCTGTTCCTTCAAATATTGATGCTATATTTTGGATGATTCTTCATCTAGATGTTATCAACATTTTGCATAGGCATAAGATACTGGCAAGTGTTATCAGTGTAAAGTCAACCGGGGGTCAAACTGGATGAGGTACCTTTGAATGAAAATCAGTAGAACCAAATGATCTTGGCTTATTCAAGAAAATGTGGACCTCACTATATGGGAAACAAGGGAAGAAGATACAATTGTGAAAAGGAACCACTATTTTATAAACACAGTTAGGAAAATCTCTAGGGGACAGAATAATTTGTCCCCTAGACATTCACGCATAGAGTACCAGGGACACAACCCCTGATGCCATTACCAGCTTTGCTGATTCCCACAAAGGCTGAGGAGGGAAGACTAGCTACATTGACTTAGAATTCTTTAAGACAGTTCAGGTGGCTCCCCTTTCAGATGTCACATGGCGTGGTTGCTCAGCTTCTCCTTTTGATGGAAACAGAAAGATGGGAAGATGAAACTTGTTTCTGGTATGTAATGAGAATCCTTTTGTTGCCTTCCAGATGGAGTTGGTCAATAAAAGCAAAGTTCAAGAGTTTGTTCTGGTGGGCTTTGGAGGTCAGAAACAGATACATCACCTGCTCATCATTATTTTTGTTGTTCTCTACATCCTGACTTTGACAGAGAATGTTGTCATTATCATGCTGGTGTTCCTAGATTCCCACTTGGCTCGGCTTCCCATGTACATCTTCCTGAGTAACTTTTCCTGGTTGGAGATGGCTTATGTGAGCACAACCATGCCTCGTATGCTTTATGACCTGGTCACTTCAAAGGGGAACATCTCTTTCCAGGCTTGCTTCCTTCAATTCTACATCTTCTTCTCCCTGGGCAGCACAGAATGCTTCTTCCTATCAGCTATGGCTTTGGATCGCTACCTAGCTATCTGCTGTCCATTGCGTTACCTCCAAGTAATGTCCCAAACTATCTGCTCAGCTCTGGTGGCTACTTGTTGGATCCTTGGCTTTCTGTGGTACATTGTCCCTGTGATATTAATGTCCAGGTTATCCTATTGTGGCTCAAACATCATCGATCACTTATTATGTGACCCTGGACCAATTCTATCCTTGGCATGTCCACCATTAGGGAAAGTTCCTTTTATTTGCCAAGTGTTTATGAATACTGTATTTGCAGTCAACCTCATCTTTGTTGTGCTTTCTTACAGCATGGTGATTCTCACACTGATGCAAAAATCTAGAAAAGGGAGCCGAAGGAAGAGTTTCTCCACTATCGTGTTCCACCTAGTACTGGTCACACTTTTCTATGGGTCAGTGGCAGGGGTTTACTTAACTCCTGGGGGAGAAAGTCAATCAGATGTCACCAAATTAGCAACCATCTTCTACACCACCATTACCCCATTTCTAAATCCCTTTATTTACTGCCTGAGGAATGACCAGGTGAAAGAGGCTTTGGGCAGGTTGCTGAAAAGAAAAGGGAGATTTATGTAAAATGAGAAAATAGTTTAAACTGCTGAAAAAGGAATTAAGGACGAGCACATCCTCAATTAAGGAGAGAGAGAGAGAGAGAGAGAGAGAGAGAGAGAGAGAGAGAGAGAGAGAGAGAGAGAGAGAGAGAGAGAGAGAGACTCAAATGTTTAGAACAGACGCCACCAATCATCCCAGTTTAGGTGGACACATTTGGAATTTTGTGGCAGATCCAGTGTCACAGAATAGTTGCCCTGATGGTCTTGGATAATCCCCAAAACTATTCAACACAGGGCAAGCTTGTTTCCAAATCCAACACTTCAGAATATGCTATTACTTCAATTTATTCTTGTATTTTTCTCTCTGGATAAATGGGACATTTCTTTTTTTTAAAAGCACTTGGTTGCAACCCCAGGGCTCTGGGGGCCTAGAGACATGTATTATGCTTAAGGCCAGTGCTTAACTTTGCCACACACAATATTACTATTAGTCTCTCTCTCACTCACACACACATACACACACACCTATCTATATCTATCATATACTTCCATCATCTACCCCTACTGTCTGTCTGTTTTTCTGCCTATCTCTGTATCTATTTATCTCTCCATCTATCATTTATATCTACCACATATCTCTATCTCTATCTATCTATCTATCTATCTATCTATCTATCTATCTATCTATCTATCTATCTATCTATCTAATAGAATAGTATAGAGCTGGAAGGGACGTTGGAGGTCTTCTAGTCCAGCCCTTTGCTCAAACAGGAGAACCTATACTATTTCAGACAAGTGAATGTCTAGTTTCTTCTTTAAAATCTCCAGTAATGGAGCGCCCATTGATTTCTGAAGGCAAGCTGTTCCACTGACTAATTGTCGTCACTGATAATTCCAGGTTGCTTCTCTCTTTGGTCAGTTTCCAACCGTTGTTTCTTGTCCTGCCCTCTGATGCTTTGGAGAATAGTTTGATGCCCTCTTCTTTGTGGCAATCCCTCAAATACTGGAAAACTACTATCATGTTGCCCCCTTTTCTTCTTTTCTTTAGACTAGCTAAACCCAAGTCCTGCAACTGTTCTTCATATGTTTTAGTCTCCAGACCTTTGATCATTTCAGTTGCTCTTCTCTGAACTTTCTCCAAGGTCTCAACATCTTTTTTGAATTGTAGTATGGTGACCAAAATTGGTTGCAGTATTCCAGATGTGGTCTTACTATCTCTATCCATCTGTCTGTCTGTCTGTCTGTCTATCATCTATGGCTATAATTCATGGATGACTGGTCAAGATCTTGGTCAAGAGAACAGAGCCTTTGTAGGGACTATTAAACTTGAAAGTCAATCACTGGTTTTCAAATACAAAAATAAGCCAAGCCTTTTACAAGGACTAGAGTACAGTGAAAGTTAAAATACTACTATGGGATATACAAAGGTATGATGCTTAAAGAACAGAAATATCAATTATGTTTGAGCTATTGTTTAGCACACTACTACTACATATCTTTGTCCATGGTTTCTTTTACTGTCGTTCATAACTGTTCTTAATTTTCAGATTCTCTAGCTGAGTCTGTTTGTTAAAGAGGGTTTTACAATTTCTGCAAATCGTATTATTAATAAATTGCCTTGAAGCCAAATAGACATTGTATGATTATTCTATTTCAGATTTAGAAATTCTGGTAGACCGAATGACAAGGTTATGATCAGCAGTCATCCCTTGGTATCACGCTATGAACAAAGTCATATTTGGTGCTAAACTATAACATGCTTTTCTTTGCTTTGGTATATTGTGTTGGGTGTACTTAAACTCGATGATTTGTAGGATCATGGTTTTTGGTTTCACGTGTAAACAGAACTAAATGTGTTTTTCAGTGAACATAGTTATAAACAATCTCAATGGAGATGTTCAACCTTATGTAAAATTCCAAAAACATCTTGAAGAATTGCCTCTGAACTGTAATTTTTAAGTGGCTAAAGGAGAAAATTATCAAAAAAAAATATACAGGAATGATCAAATGTAAATTGTATTTTAACAGAATAACAAGAGTTGTAAAGGACCCTGGAGGTTATCTAGTCCAACCCCCTGGTTAGGCAGGAAACCCTATACCATTTCAGACAAATGGCTGTTCAATCTCTTTTTAAAAACTTCCAGCATTGGAGCATTTACAACTTCTGGAGACAGGTTGTTCCACTGGTTAATTGTTCTGACTGTCAGGAAATTTCTCCTTAGTTTTAGGTTGCTTCTCTCCTTGATTAGTTTCCATTCATTGCTTCTTGTCCTGCCTTCAGGCGCTTTGGAGAATAGCTTGACTCCCTTTTCTTTTATTTTCTTTTTTTAATGTTTTATTGATTTTCTAATTTTACATTTAAGTATTTAAAAAGCAACGTGGCGGCTGAGTTAATTGAAAATTCAATGACACACAAACATCTTTAGTGCAAGTCTCAAACTACCACATTAAATATTTCCTCTCTTTTCCCCTTAGTGTTTACTTTCTCATGTTTAAAGTCATACAATTCTTATTATATCAATTAAATAAAAATAACATTCTAACATTTATCAATAATTTTAGCTTATACGTATCCTGGTTATTTTAACATTCAGTCTTTATAGACAATCAATGTCCTAATTAGTTTTTCCCAATGTTTAGTTTTCCATTAATATTGAAATTTAACATTTAATATTTATAATTTTAAATTTTAAGTGACCAAAATTCCCTTTATCACAATTCATCACAAAGTCTAATATTCAAGATACACATCTTATCTATTTGAATATACTCTATTTCTCACCATCTTACATCATCTAATTAATAATACAGTGTAACATTCTTATTTTCTATTAATTTCCAAATGTCTTAAATTTAGTAACCAAAATTTCCCTTGTTTTAACCTCAAATACTTCCTCTCTTTTTCTCTTAGAGTCTATTATCTCATATTTAAGCTAGTACAGTTCTTATTATATCAGCTAAGTAAAAACATGTTTATTACATTTGTCAGATTTTTAGTTTATATATCTTAATTACTTTTACATTCAACCTTTATAAACCAATCAATATTCAGATTTAACTTTTGATATTTGTACTTCCAAGTTTTAAATGACCAAAGTTTTCTTTATATTAGTTCATAACAAAATCTAATATTCAAAGTACACATCTTGTCTATTTGAGTATATTCTATTTTAATCCTCACTAATGAGTCAAAACCCCAATTTCTTCAGCCTTATTCTAGCTTTCTTTCTTTGCCAACTTGCCTTCCATATCATCAAATAGTTTCCCTCTGATATTATATATGTTGTTTGAGATAAAAGACGCCATCCAGTCTCCATTTTTTGGGAAGGGCTAACAAATCGTCTATTTTTTCCATCTCGATGTAGTTGTCCTGAAATGTTTATCTTCCCTTCGGTCTGTTCTTCTTGATCCTCAGGTTTCTTTTGGTTTATATAGAAAGTCTTTTCCATTTTCAGTGTTGTCAGTCCCTTTTCTGGGTTTTCCGTTAACTGTGTTTGTTGATCAGTTGAATCTTCTATCATAGTATTTAATTGTTCTTCTATTATATTCTGTGTAGTTGGTTCTTTACTTGTAATCAAAGTTTGGGTTCGTATATCTAGGTTGACATCTTGTTCTTTTCTGCAGCTTATTTCATCAATAGCTGTAAGAATAGTTTCATAAATTGCTTTCAACATAAAAAGAATCTGTTCCTGATCTTCTTCCATATTCTCTTAGTAGTGTGTTAAATTAAAAGCTTTACAATCAGAGAATGAAAATAATTTTGTCACTGAGTATAAAACACAGCTGGGCTTCTCACAGCTGATATCTGCCAAGGTTGTAAAAGTCTTATCTATAGTCTGGGCTTCAAGCCAAGTCTTTTTTAGGCAATAACAAGTTGTAATATCAGGTTTAGCCACAAGATGTTGCCCACACCATTTAAGATTTTTGTTTTTTTTAAGTCCAAAATTTTTATAATCCTTTCTCAATTTTACTTCTTTTTTATAAGTAAGAACCCAAATCTTCAATAAGAATAAGAAATCTTTTAGTCCTCAAATTTTAGAAAGATAAAAATCCAGTTAGAATTAAGTTGTTTTTTTTAGCATTTTAAACTCCCCTGGATTGTCAGTCACCGCTGATTTTAGAGGGTGGGATAGAATTTCCCTTCCCTCTCTCCACAGGGGGGAAAATACTTTGGGCAGCTTATACAGGTAGAAAAAATAATTAGGATTGAAGAGAGGTTCAGATCTCACCCAGTCTCATCTGCACTGCTTTGTACGTGTCTGCTGGTAAATTTGACTTCGGCTGTCTGCAGCCTAGTGACAAGCCATATTTCTATGGCCGGTCTTTCGTCTGCCTGTTTGGAGGGTTGCCCCGGACCGAGCAGAAGGGCTACCACCCTCCTGCGATCAAGCAGGGATCCCCTCCTTGCTTGTCGCCCCTACAGGGTGACTTTCGACCCTTTCCAGGGTCCCCCAGCAATGCAAAATCAAACGTGGAAGACGGAGCTCACTTTCCAAACGTCCACGGCAGCTGCGTCGGCAAACCGGAAGTCGCTTGACTCCCTTTTCTTTGGTTCATATATGTTTTAGTCTCTGGCCAGAAAAAGTAGCAATCTCGCTTTAGCAGATGTCACCATCCTGTCTGATCGCGTAAAGTCACCAAGGCTTTGCCTCCCCCACCCATGTATAAAAACTGAGGTTGTCCTTGGCAAACCACCACAAATTGTTTTCATAAACAATTTGTTAGTCATCTTTAATGGCAGGAAACAGCAAGTCATCCTGTCTTCTTCTTTCTAACATAAAAAAGTAGATAAGAGCTTCAAAAGTCTCCACTACTTTCCCCTGGCATTTGCATCAAGCATCTACTTGATACATTAGTCCAAAAGCTGCCACTTTCTCAAGGGAGAGAAAGGGAAACAAGAGTTAAACTAATTAAAAACATTTTGACATCATTAGGCAGACATAGATTTGAACTTATGCCTTTGGGATCTCCTTCAGGAGCCAATTAAAACTGTCAGCTTTGTACAGCAATGTATCTTTTTTCTACAGTACCAAGCCAAGCAATTAAACAACATACACGTCTCGCAATTAAGAGTTGAAGAAAGGTTATAGAAATGTTATTCTACTCTTCTGTTGAACACAGTTGAGGAATCTATTCACATACATGCTAATTAAGGAACTGGTATTAGGCTGGATTTTACCTCAAATTAAGCAGCAGAAACTCTGAATTAACACGTTATGTTAAACCATGATTTGGTTAACCATGATTTAGTTATTAAATGGATATGCCACCCATCTCATGATTTATTAAATAAGCAGTTACTGAATTCACACAGTAAATCATATGTATGCATATATATGTATATCAGTTAGTATGGTATTTTAACTCATTTTTTATATTAAAATAGACTTGATCTATTTTACACCACAGGTAAAATACACTACAGGTAGTTGTCAACGTATAACCACAATGGAGCCCCAAATTTCCATTGCTAAGCAAGATAGTTGTTAAGTGAGTTTTGTCCATTTTTACAATGTTTCTTGCCACAGTTGTTAAGTGAATCACTGAAGCTGTTAATTGAATTGTTCAGTTGTTAAGCAAATCTGGCTTCCCCCATTGACTTTGCTTGTTGGAAGCTGGCTGGGCAGCTTACAAAGGGAGATCATGACTCCACGACACTGCAACAGACATAAGTACATGCCAGTTGCCAAGCATCTGAATTTTGATCATGTGACCATGGAGATGCTGCAACAGTTGTGTTAAAAATGTCCGTAAGTCACTTTTCAGTGCCGTTGTAACTTTGAAGAGTCACTAAATGAATGGTTGTTAAGTCGAGGACTACCTGTATGTGAAATTTTCCTGTGCGTATAAGCTATTACAATTCCCTTCTAGAAAGGATAGATGAAGTTGCTGGAATTTTATTATAGAATCTAATGAACCTAATCTTTCATCAGTTCCTGGGGCAGTTAAAATTACACACATCTGTAAATTGCCAAGGTTAAGAAACACTGTTTTAGACTGAAAAAAAATAAAGAATAAAAACCCAGGTAATTATTTGCCAAGGAAAGTGCATCCATTTACATCAGCATGAGTTAAAGTTCCATTTTGAGGATGTCACCACCATTATTATTCTTTTCATATGCATATTATACATGTAAAACTGCTGGATTCTTGTTACAGACCGTTAAAGAAATCAATTTTAAATTTCACAGTGTACGAGCTGCCTATGCTTTACAATTTGATTAGGGTTTTTTTTATTTATAAGGGTAACCATGGGCCTTTCTTGATCCCAGCTTGATAGGGCCAGCAGGTGCTGAATAAAATTACTTGCCATAAAGAAAAGGCAGATTCACTCCATATTTCTTGCCCGTTCTTTGGAAACTAATTGGTCATGCTACCAAAATGAACACTTTGTCAACTATAATAATCCCTGCATGGCCTTACACAAGCAGCTTTCTTTAACTGCAACCATTATGCCGCTAGAGGGCATTGCATGCCAAAACTACTAGATACAAAGATAGTTCCACCGCCCCCACCATCACTCCGCTGAACACTTAATTCTCACAGCACCATCTCATTTCCCATCCTTTCATCTTTCCTACTATCTGCTCCTATTGGTTTCTTATGATTTATCTGTTGTTATTATGATCTATGACATATTACATGCTGTTTATATGTACTCTGTCAGCTTATGCACCGGAGACAAATTCCTTGTGTGTTCAATCACATTTGGCTAATAAAAAATTCTATTCTCTTTTGTTCTGTTCTATTCTTATTCTAATTCTATTCTATTCTATCATTCCATTCCATTCCATTCCTATTCCCATTCCATTCTATTTTATTCTGTTCTATTCTATACTATTCCATTCCATTCCTATTCTTTCTATTCTATTGTTTTGTTCTGTTCTGTTCCATTCTATTCTACATTCCATTCTATTCTATTCTGTTCCGTTCCCATTCCATTCTATTCTTCCATTCCATTCCTTTCCTATTCCGTTCCATTCTATTTTATTCTATTCTGTTCCATTGCGTTCCAATCCTATCCCTACTCTGATTCCTATCCCTATCCCTATCCCTAATCCTATTCCTAGTCCATTCCCATTCGTATTCAGTTCTGTTCTGTTCTATTCTTATTTCTGTTCTTATTGCTAGTTCTATTTCTATTTCTATTCCATTCCTTTCCTATTCCGTTCCATTCTATTTTATTCTATTCTGTTCCATTCCGGTTTATTCCTATCCCTACTCTGATTCCTATCCCTATTCCTATCCCTATCCTAATCCTATTCCTAGTCCATTCCCATTCGTATTCCTGTTCTGTTCTATTCTTATTTCTGTTCTTATTGCTAGTTCTATTTCTATTTCTATTCCATTCCATTCCATTCTAAACAATATGAGATCAACACAGAAGATTTGCTTAATTCTAATTAAAACAGTTGTTTTACCATTCTCCATAAACAGAAATTTTACACGATATTATGGCAAAGGACTCATTTTATTGGTTGGAAGGGAAAAGATCAGGAGTCCAGAGGAAAAATTATACAAAAATTACAAAAAAAACATCTCAAAATAATATCAAATAAATACAGAAAGCATCTCTTCCATTTACAAAGAAATAACGAGTTGGGTGTAGCGTTGATCATACTGACCCACAAGACAGTGGGATTTAGGATAGCCAGGCTAGCCTAAGTCCCACTGACTTCATTAATAAACTGTAAGAAAAACAGAGTTTGATTCAGATGAACGGGATCTAAAAAAAAATCTACACTGACCGACTGCCCAAACTTAAATGCGATGGAGGCAAAGCAAGAGCAAAGATGAAAGAAGGGATCAGAAAAGGAGGAGAAAACTAAAGAGAAGGGGAACAAAACGAGCAGCCCTCTGATTTTCTGTAGACACTCATTTCAGTACAAATGAAAGCAAAACAGCTGTCTGTGGAAAAGAAACTTGGGGGGAAAAAAACCCAAAAGAGATGAGAATTAAGCACCAGGTTGAACAAATGTTCTGCAATTCCCTTTTTCTCTCACTCCTTCACTTAACGGCTGGATGGTATTTTACGAATCCGTCCCATCTCTCTAAACTACTAAAAAAGTAGGCAGAGAGAGAACTGATGTAGCATAAAACTCTTGAGCATCCCTGGAAATTTTGTCCTTCATCTCTCCTCATTCACTTTGTGCCTGATAGGCAATGGTTGCGGCGGCCTGGTTTTGCGATCCTTGCACTTTGCCGTTCACCACCAGAACCAGAGGAGTCTCTACGCGGATGCCAGAAAAAGTAAAACTCTGAAAAGCAGGAAAAAGAAGAAGAAGAAAAAGGTTATGTGAGATGCTTTAAAAAAAAAACATCAGTGTAAGTGGCATTATTTATTTGTTGCATGCATTCGCTGCCTATCTCTCTGTGGAGAGAGGGAGCTGAAACATTGAAAGGAAAGGAAGAAAAATGAGAAGGCTTGAAAACAGGAGTATAGGTAGTCCTTGACTTACGACCACAACTGAGCCCAAAGTTTCCACTGCTAAGCGAGACAGCGGTTAAGTGAGTTTGGCCGCATTTTACTGCTTTTCTTGCCACAGTTGTTAAGTGAATCACTGAAATTGTTAAAATGACAATAATGGTTATCTAATCTAATTTAATCTAATCTAATCTTAATAACATGGTTGTTAAGTGAATCTGGATTTCCCATTGATGTTGCTTGTCGGAAGATTGCAGAAGGAGATCACGTGACCCCAGGACATTGCAGCCGCCCTAAGTATGAGTCAGTTGCCAAAGCATCTGAATTTTGGTCATGTGAACCTGGGGAAGCTGCCACAGTGTGAAAAACGGTTATAAGTCACTTTTTTCAGTGCCATTGTAACTTTGAACAGTCACTAAATGAACTGTTGTTAAGTCAAGGACTCCTTGTAAAATAATAGAACAATAATGTAAACAATGACAAAAGAACAATCATAGCTGGCTTACACAGATACTTTAGAATAGATTAGACTAGAATAAAAACTTTAAATGTACCCTAATCACCATACATTAAAATGAAATTTTGTTGCATTCAGCTCTCAAAAAAAACCCCAAAACCATTATACAAATATCGCCATACACACACACATATGACACAGAGAAACATCACAGTCTAGTTTGAATTTATACATATACATGGCAAAAAAACCCCACATGAAACACTTTTCTCACCTTACAACCCTTTGTGTATTCAAAGTTACAATAGCACAGAACAAAAGCGACTAGAGATCGGTCCTTGCTTTCACAAACCTTACAGCAATCCCCATGGTAACGTGATCAAAATTCAAGTGCTTGACAACCCAACGTGTATTTAGGACAGTTGAAGCATCCTGGGGTCACATGATTGCCATGTGTAATCTCCCCAGCTTCCAACAAGCAAAGTTGATGGAGGAAGCTGGATTCACTTAACAACTGCCTGAAGTCATTAATTGCAGTGATTTGTTTCACAACCATGGTTAAAAACGTCATAAAAATCAGGCATGACTCAACAATGATCTTGTTCAGCATCAGAAATTCTGGCCCTAAATATGGACATAAATTGAGGGCAGTCTGTAATTCCAGGCTGCCCTTTATAAGCTTTAAATTATTTGTGGAAGGCTCTGATTAAGGTTGAACTTGATTCATGGCATGACAGAGGAGAGACAAAGGGGGAATAAGGAGAGTAGACTCACTTTGTTCTGGTGCTGAATGTGATGGTGCCGAAGATATGGTTCAGGGATGGCCACCGAGTCCCCAATTAGGACCCCCCAGCTTTGTACCATGTTGTAAACAGTGACAGCAAAACAAGGGCCTTCGAGCGAGTCTACCAATCCGAAGGTGCTATTGGAGAACAGAAAGTGGAAAAATTGAAATAAGTAAATTATTGCCCCTGTTGTGCAATTTAAGCCAAACATACTCAATAAAGATCCAGCATGGACTACATGTTGTGAATTCAAGAGGCAGTTTCTAAATCATAAATCAGGGGTAGACAGCTATGGTCCCTTTACAACCTGTGGACTTCAACTCCTAGAATTCCTGAGCCAGCCTGGCTGGCTCAGGAATTCTGGGAGTTGAAGTCCATAGTGTCAAGCTGTGAAGATTGCTTATGCTGCTTCATTCATTATTGCTTCTTAGCTGGCCTACAGACTCAGGGGGGAGGAGGGAGGAATGGAATATGGACTGCAGGTGCAAGCTGCCAGGTTGTGAGAATCAAGGTCTCTCAAAAACTGTTTAGGAAGAACTGAAGACTTTTTCTCACAACAACTGTCTGACCCATTACTGGACAATGTGACCTGCACTATTAGGAGGGAGGGGAGTTTCTATACTTTAATATACTGATTTTTGGCGCCAATTATTCAGAACCGGTTTTCTATTCATCTGTGCCGAAATGGTGTGCTCAATAAAGTTTTCATTAGATATCCGAAAGTCTTAGCTGTGCTTACTTCGTTGGGATCATCAGTTGGAACCTTGACACATAGGTCATAAAAGGGCCATAGTTGCCCACCTCTACCATAAATCATAAGTTTATATCAATAAACATATATATTGTCTTTTCTCTGATCAAAGAAGTCAATTCAGCATCTCAGCAAATTCTGTCATCTTTACCAACCGTTCTTCCATCACCAGTGATTCAAATCTTTCCATCTTTGCGCTATAGTTGTCGTATAAACAAAATTCCACAACTTTTTTGCAACTCTTTGTCCATCAATTCCACCACCCACCCACCCACCCAAAAAATCATCTCTGGTCTCAACTTCTATATCAATCTTTAAAACCCTCCAAATCGCTAGAAGCTGTGGCTGCCATCTTCAGAAGGAAAATTATGTTGCCTCTGGTCTGTGTTAACTTTGCCTCCTTAGATGCCAGTCACAGTTCTCCAGCTCAGGGGTTGGGTACCTATGGCAATTTCGCAACCAGTGGACTTCAACTCCCAGAATTCCTGAGCCAGGATCTCTGGGAGTTGAAGTCTACAGGTCGTAATATTGCCATAGTTACTCATCCCTGCTCTACACCAAGGTCACTAAACCCTGAAGTCCAACACTGCCTAACAGACACAGGCTGTGAAAGCCAACACCAGAAATCAGTGATAGCAGGGCAGGAAAGATTCAAAATTCTACTCACAAAGGCACTTTTTCCTCAGTAGTCAGGCTGAATAGCACCTTCCCCAAGATCACAGTACCAGTGTTAACACCAGGCTGCAAGGCACTAAGGGATTGTCTCCGTAGTTCTACCTTCTGACCCAAAGGCCCTTGATAATGTCCATCACCACAAGGGCCCAGATGGGAGGTCCGTAGGCTTCCCAACATGCTTTGCAGCTTTTTGCCTTTCACCTTGCCCTATGAGAGGAATACAGCAGAAACAAGACTTGTTTGCAAACATGAACTTACCTAACATGGGCAGTACGGGGGTGGGACAAAAAAAGACAAATCCCACCACAATACCTTGTTTTCAAGGAGTCCACTTAGTCTCTCAAGGAAGTCCATGAGTTGCTGCTTCCGTTGTTGAGGTTCTGGCCAAGCCGGGTCAAGGGCTGCGGCGTGTGCAAAACCCTCTAGGGCTTCCATGTAGTTTTCTTCATACTTAGAAAGCTGGGCAAAAAGTATATAAAAACAACACTGCAAGACAATTTGGGGTCAAATGGATGCCTGTCTCTAGGATCCAAAAAAAAGCTCAGCATCCAAATACATGAATGAAAAACATATACAGGTAGTCCTCCACTTACAACTATTCGTTTAGTGGCAGTTTTGTCACTGAAAAAAGTGCTTTGTGATAGCTTTTCACTCTTACGTCTGTTGCAGCATCCCCACAGACGTGTGATCAAAATTTGAAAGCTTGGCAACTGGCATGTTGCAGTGTCTCAGGGTCATGTGATCCCCTTTTGCAACCTTCTGACTAGCATAGGCAATGGGGGAGACCAGATTCACTTAACAACCACATTACTAACTTAACAGTTGCAATGATTGACTTAACAACTGTGGCAAGAAAGGTCGTAAAATGGGGAAAAACTCACTTAATGACTGTCATGCTTAGCAACAGAAAATCTGGGCTCAATTATGGTTGTAAGTCAAGGATCACCTGTACTTGTGAAATCTTAGTTTCGACTTCTGTGACTCCCACAATCTTTGTTTTCAGCCCCTGTCCCTAAATGCTCAAGGAAAACACTTGGCTCAAGGGCCACAGGCAGCCCATCAAACAGCCTTTGTGACCCACTGTTGTTATTTTTTCAAAACTAAACAAATGTGCTGCTTTCCCAAAAGACACAATTCCAAGTGTCTCCAAGCCTCACTGCTGCCACCAGCTCTGGGACCACTAACCACTGTCAACTAACCATTCAACAGTTGATTGACACACCAGGTATTCCCTAGTGGCCCAGTGATCTTTCATTTAGTAGTGTAGCCTTTTTTCCCACTAGAAGGTATACAGATCTGTTTGAAGAATTGGGGAGAATAAATTTAAGCAAGTTCTCTATGTCTTTGAAGAACTGAGTGCGTGTTTTCTGCTACTCAATAGTCAGCTCCCCATCTCTCTGTCAACAAGAGTCTCTGCCCCAGGGTGTTTCCTAGACACATTCATGGAGATCTTTGGTGACACTCATAATAATAATAATAATAATAATAATAATAATAATAATAATAATAACAACAACAACAACAACAACAACAACAACAACTTTATTGTCACTTTGAATGTACACCAATCGGCATACATCAAAATGAAATTTCGTTGCATACAGCTCTCAAAGGGTCACCACCTCTAAAGTGGGAAAGAAATAGAATAACATAGAATAAAGAAGAATAAAGTAAAATAATAATAATAATAATGAAAAATCACTAAAAGCAAAAATCATGTGTCTGCATAATCTCTGAAAGAAAGCTGTGTTAGCCAAAAACTGTATTAACAGTATGTGAATGACCTAATGCATATTTAGAAACATTGTATAAAAGTAAAAACTGCCTTCATTGTATTCCCATGAGAAATGGACCTAACCTGTGAGAAACTATCTGAATGTTACACAAAGTAGATTCCATATACAATGTAAGATTCCATCTATGCCTCCTTTGTTCCTGAGAAAAAGAAACCTATAAAGCTTTAGTTTAGACCCTCCCCCTTGTTCAGAAATTTGTTGATTGTTAAATCACTTCTGAACCTTTTTGCGCAAAAATAAAGATCTCTCTTTCACCCATGGAATTTCGTAAAAGCCCTTTATTTTTTAAGGCTTTATTTTTCCACAAGACCTCCGATACACACTCCTTGTTTGTGGCCAGCTCAAGTTACAGATCTTCCATTTTAGTCTCTGGGGAGCAAACGATGGCAAACAGGACAGATGGAAATGGAGCTTCATGTCGATTATCCCTCAAATTAGCTTGTATTCCTGCCCGACAACCTCGCCTCCTTTTCTTTTTCTGATCTTGTCTCTTCCATCTTTTCCTTAAAGAGACCTCACTCCTTTTCACCCCTGGAGAACGCTGCCGCCGCCACCAACTCCTCCAAAAACCTCTCTGCCATTCTGTGGGCCTGCTGATAGCCTCATCCAGTTCCTTCGCTCCTTAAGCCCCGGGACCTCTCTGCCTCCTTTGGAAACAGCCCTTATTTGCAATAGAGTCCGTCGCTGGGCCAGCAGTCAGATCTTGCTGCCAGCAGAACAATTTCAAACAGCACCAACGACTTTTAACGGTCTCACCGACAGTTCCGAAACAGCTAGAAACTCGCCATGCCAGCAAAGATTGTCAGTCGTATGTTGTATGTTACCTTAGTTCCACCCCATTGCTCAAACACGTCAAAACCTTCCCGATCATGTGGTCTATATCCCTTAATATCCCTCCCATAACTCTTCACCTTCGAGAGCCAATGCAGCCGCAGCCGATCCAGGCGCTGCCATCTTAGAACTCTCATGGAGCATATTGAGTTTGATGCTGCCTTTTCTAAAATGTTTTTTTCATCTGCCTCCAACCCTGGGATGCTTCATCTGAATTCCAAGTTTTTAAGAAGACATTGGATAACTATTTCTCTGAAATGGTATAGAGTTTCCTGCCTGAGCAGGGAGTTGGACTAGATGACCTTCAAGGTCCCTTCTAGCTCTGTGACTCCGTTAAATACTAACTACCCCTAATGCTGTTTAAGCTCCCAAGTCCAAACCAGATCAACAAATGCTGCTAAGTCCTGATACTGAGCAATTAAAACATCGCCCCAACTCTCCAAAGTTTAAAAAAAAGTGATTTTTCCAATTAACAACTTAGCCCACAGCCTTGGATCACATTACACTTAGGAATCACCAGCTGTGATTCTAAAGCTTTTCTTGATGGATCATTCCTACATTAGCCAACTTTATGTTGCCTTCGTTATTCCATTTCCTTACCGTGGCTCGATTGAGATGCAAATCTGGGTTACAAGTAGCAGTGGGGTCCACCTTTTCCTATTGCAAAAAAGAAAAAAGAAAGAAAAATCAGAAGAAAAGCATGCACAATCAACACTGATAAAGAACAAATTCATTCACATGGAATATTCTTCCTCCCTCACTCCCTCAAAAGAAGAGGGGTTCAACCTATTCTCCAAAGCACCTGAAGGTGGAACGAGAAGCAATGAATGGAAACTAATCAAGGAAAGAAATAACCTAGAACTAAGGAGAAATTCCCTGACAGTTGGAACAATTAATCAGTGGAATGACTTGCTTCCAGAAGTTGTGAATGCTCCAACATTGGAGGTTTTTAAGAAGAGACTGGACAACCATTTGACTGAAATGGTATATGATCTCCTGCTTGAGCAGGGGGTTGCATTAGAAGACCTTCAAGGTTCCTTCCAAATCTATTATTGTTATTGCAAAACAAACATTCATTCTTATTTACACCTATCTCAACCAAGGACTACTGTATGCGTAGGTATCAATAGACATTTTATTTATAGCAAAAAGGAACCCACAGAATTCTCAGTTTAAGGCACAGCTAAGGAACTGATCTGACCAATAGGATTCATCTTTGCCACAGTTAAATTTGAAGCTTTCCAGTGAAGTCAAGAGAATGCCTTTTTTCCCCCCAAACCAAGTTACAAGTAGTCCTTGACTTATAACCGGTTGCTTAGTGACCATTCAAAGGTATGACAGACACCCTTTCCCATGCACTATTAATCCTGCTGTTCCCTCCTCTAGCCAGCAAATGGACCTTTTATAAAATCTCTCGGGGTGCATGGATTCATAAGGAGAATGTCATTATCAAGCGAGAATCACATTAGAAATACATTGTTAAGGCAACTGTGGTCTATACTCCAGAAGCTAATCAAAGAGAGAAGCAACCTAGAACTAAGGAGAAATTTCCTGACAGTTAGAACAATTAATCAGTGGAACAACCTGCCTCCAGAAGTTGTGGATGCTCCAACATTGGAGGTTTTTAAGAAGAGACTGGACAGCCATTTCTCTGAAATGGTGTAGGGTTTCCTGCCTGAGCAGAAGATTGGACTAGAACAGGCATGTCAAACTCGCAACGTCACGTGACATCGCACAGCGTATCGGGACTTTCCCCCCATTGCCAGCAATGAGGTGGGCGCGGTTTCGGCATGACGCATCCGGCCTGCAGGCCAGCAATTTAACATGCCTGGACTAGAAGACCTCAAAGGTCCCTTCTAACTATTATTGTTATTGTTATTGAATATAATCAATTCTACACCTTTTTCTTAAGTTATACACTATCTCAAAATAAACTCTTTTGTCAGGGTTTATTGAGGATCATGGATGTTTCTACAATACTTGTGAACTTTTTCTGAAAAATTTATTTTACTGCCACTGAATTAATGGAATATCAATCTAGCACAGTACTGTAAATCTTATGTTAAGGAAGGCAGCAACGCTTTAGGTCTCTCACAGCAAAAAAAGGAAGTCTGGACAACTAGAAGACAATTATTCAGCCATTTGTCTGAAATGGTATAGGGTTTCCTGCCTGAGTAGGGGGTTGGACTAGATGACTTCCAAGGTCCCTTTCAACTTTATTGTTATTATTATTATATTATACTGTACAACAGCACCTTTTTGACTTTGTGGACTGGTGGTGGCAGAGAGGGGATGGTTCCATGCAAACAGCAGGTGAGCACACTCGTGCAGGCAACTCCATTTGCACAACCAGCGGGTGCGTGCACTCACTGCTTGCAAAATGGAACTTCGCACGCTCATGCATGTGTATACCACTTGCGCACGCACATGCCACTCATGCAAGTGGAGCTGTCCATGCAAACATTGTCGCCCGCTGCTTGCGCGGCCTGGTTCCAAATGTGCCCCAACCTGGTACCGGGCTGTGGCATGGGGATTGTGGACCCCTGTTGCACAATACAATGAGTTAGCAGAATCTTATGCATCTTACAATCCTGTTCCAGCTCCATCTTCCCCAAAGATGACTTAGGTGCAAAACTTGTGCCACCAAAACAAAAGCTCTAGTCAGATAACTCCAGGAATGTAAGTTTTCTGCTTGCAGGGAAAGCTATGGTCATATATAATTTTCTCCCTATCCACAACCTTCAGTTCCATGGCACTTTTTATGTTTTCAGACATTGCCATTCACCTGTATTGGTAGACAAGATGTAAGAATATACAATTGGGAGAACATATAGGTGATCCTCAACTTATAACCAGCCACTTAGCAACCGTTCAAAATTATGGCAGACCTCTCCAGGCCTCTCTACAATCCGGATTTGAAGTTTCAACAGCACCCTCCCCCCTGTGGTCACATGATTGTATTTTGGGCGCTCGGCAACAAGCAGGTATTTATAGCTGTTTGCAGCATTCTGTAGTCATGTGACCATGATTTATAACATTTCCAGTTTCCAGCAAAAACACCCATTGCAGACAATAGACCCATTCAACAGCAATAGCACTTAGACGTATATACTGCTTCATAGTGCTTTACAGCCCTCTCTAAGCAGTTAACAGAGACAATACATGGCCCCCAACAATCTGGGATCCTCATTTTACCGACTTCGGAAGGATGGAAGGATGGGTCAACCTTGAGCCGGTCAGGATCGAACTCCTGGCAGTGGGTAGAGTTAGCCTGAAATACTGCATTCTAACCAATGTGCCATCATGGCTCTCATTTAAAGATCACGGCATTCAGTTAACTACCACCACAAAAAAGTTGCGACATCCGGTGTGGTCACGTGGTGACCCGCTTAACAACCAATATGATTTCCAACTGTAACTTCAGGCTGAATTATGGTCGTAAGTCACGGTCTACCTGTAGCGTATTCTGGATCTAAATCAAAATAGGAGCTCAAGTCTTCCAATAACCACACTGTTGTTGTTGTTGTTAATTGCGAAGTCGTGTCTGACCCATCGCGACCCCATGGACAACGTTCCTCCAGGTCTTCCTGTCCTCTACCATCTTCTGGAGTCCATTTAAGTTCACACCTACTGCTTCAATGACTCCATCCAGCCATCTCATTCTTTGTCGTCCCCTTCTTCTATTGCCCTCAATCTTTCCCAGCATTAGGCCCTTCTCCAGTGAGTCCTTCCTTCTCATTAGGTGTCCAAAGTATTTGAGTTTCAACTTCAGGATCTGGCCTTCTAAAGAGCAGTCGGGGTTGATCTCTTCTAGGACTGACCGGTTTGAACGCCTTGCAGTCCAAGGGACTCACAGGAGTCTTCTCCAGCACCATAGACTACTACACAAAACGTACTTTTCTCACCTAGCCCTCTAGAACGGGGGTCCCCAATCACCGGGCAGTGGCCCACTTCTGGACCAAAGCCTATTCAGAACCAGAAGGCAAAAGCTGCGGGCGAGCTGTGCACATTAAGATAAGATAACCTTTATTGTCATGACCAGTCTCTCTCCCCGCCGGTCCACAAAACCGGAATTGGGGATCGCTACTCTAGAATTTACTCCAGAGGTTTAACTTGAACAACCATCCCTTCCTCCCCATACCACAGCTTTGTCTTGGGTCCCCTCCAGTACCTACTGCTTGAGCATAGGCACTTAGGGCTTGCTGGGAGATCTTGGGGTTCTGCCCCGTATTGAAGAACAAGGAGAGGTAGGCATTGCCCAGCACATCTGTGGAATGCAGAAAACATAAATTAGCCAATGGCATATCCCGTTCTCTTTTCTGCCCTTTCCCTGCCTAGGCTAAAAGACCATGTTGTAAAACTCACACCAAGAGCGTCCATCGCGCACATCCATCTGTACCGCCAGTTTGGCTTGCCGCACGCTGTCCATCACGTTTTGTGCATGTTCATCAGGAGAACTGGTGCGCAGCTGCCGTAACACCATGGAGAGGTTCTGCAAGGAGACTTTGTTCTTACGCTGAGAGGGTGGAAAAAGAAAGGCGTGTTTGGCTGAAACAGCAACACTGCAGGACAGGATTTCTGTATAAAACTAGAAGTTTTAATAAGCTCCAAATACAGGCAGTTCTCCATTTTCCACTCATTAAGCAATTGTTTGAAATTGTATGAAAATGCATACACACAGGTAATATTTTTCCCTCCATATATTTTTAGTTACAAGTAGCAATGAACCAAAGGAACATATCCTTGCAAATATATTTACATACCCATCAAAAAAACAAGCTATCTTAAGATGGGAGAGTCTATGGAGATTCTCCGTCATCCAGGTCATAGTTATCCCAAAGGTGCTTTTTCACGAGGCAACTTGTTTTTCTCTTCTCATCCAAGAAGCTTCTTCAGCTCTGACCGGATGGTGGGGAATGGAAAGATTTATATTCCTCACAGACAGCTGGTCATTTACATTCTTTTAGAGCAGTGGTTCTCAACCTTTTTAATGCCGCGACCCCCCAACCGGTCGTAAGTCGAGGATTACTCAACCGGTCGTAAGTCGAGGACTAGTCAACTGGTGCAGCACCGTTTGCAGAATGGGACTTTTGGCGGGCTCAGCAGGGCAGAGACAGCCTGGACAATTCCTATTGGCTTTTGAAAGCCAATAGAATTAGACTGTATTCAAGAGAGTCTATTCTAGTGGCTTTCAAAAGCCAATAGAATAAAAGGGAGTAGCACAGCTAAGGAAAAGGGGGGGAAAATGGCGGACTGCGTTGTTTGGTGACCCCCGTGAAATGGTCGTTCAACCCCAAATAGGGTCCCGACTCACAGGTTGAGAACCACTGTTTTAGAGAGTCAATGAGGCCACTTGGAGGTTTATCTGTGTCATCAGGGTCCCCTGTGTAGTGCAAATGGGTGTGGAGCCTTCTTGGAACTGCTGACAGGACTGTGTTGTAGACTGGAGATAGATGATGTTGTATCGCTCTCCCTCTGTTGAGAAAAGGCTGTTCAGTGTTGACAAAGATGGTCTCTTTGACCTCTCTTTCAAACCAGCAGTCCCCTCTGTCCAAAATGTGGACTTTGCTATTTTCAAAAAAGTAGCCTTTCTTGTATGAGAAGCAAAATTTCTTCAAAGAAAAACAAGAAAGTCCAGTTGCCTTGTGAAAGAGCACCATTGGGTTAAGATGTGTGAATTGAAAATAGTCATCAATGGATTAAAAAATTGCAACACATTCATTACAATAAGCATTTATTAAGGATTTGAGCGCTAATTAAACTGAGTCAAAAGGTCAAATCTTTATACAACATTTCTGTATAAAATGAGAACTTTTAATAAGCTCCAAACACAGGCAGTCCTTGGAATACTGCATCCAGTTTTGGTCACCACAATGTAAAAAAGATGTTGAGACTCTAGAAAGAGTGCAGAGAAGAGCAACAAAGATGATCAGGGGACTGGAGGCTAAAACATATAAGGGACGTTTGCTGGAATTGGGTATGTCTAGTTTAATGAAGAGAAGGACGAGGGGGGACATGATAGCAGTGTTCCAATATTTCGGGGGTTGCCACAAAGAAAAGGGAGTCAAGCTATTCTCCAAAGCACCTGAAGGCAGGACAAGAAGCAACGGGTGGAAACTAATCAAGGAGAGAAACAACCTAGAACTAAGGAGAAATTTCCTGACAGTTAGAACAATTAATCAGTGGAACAACCTGCCTCCAGAAGTTGTGAATGCTCCAACACTGGAAATTTTTAAGAAGAGACTGGACAGCAATTTGTATGAAATGGTATAGGGCAGGGGTAGGCAACTGTGGCTCTTTTATGACTCATGGACTTCAACTCCCAGAATTCCTGAGCCCACAAGTCATAAAAGAGCCAAGGTTGCCTACCCCTGGTATAGGGTTTCCTGCCTGAGCAGGGGGTTGGACTAGATGACCTCCAAGGTCCCTTCCAACTTTTTTTATTATTATTATTACTATTATTATCTTTTCTCTGAAAGGGATTTACTTGATCTACAGAATACCATCAGAAATAGCAATAGCACTTAGGACTTATATACCACTTTATATTGTTTTACAGCCCTCTCTAAGCAGTTAAAAGAGTCAGCATATGCCCCCCCCCCCCAATAATCTGGATCCTCATTTTACTGACCTCGGAAGGATGGAAGGCTGAGTCAACCTTGAGCCGCTTGGGATCGAACTCCTGGCTGTAGGCAGAGTCAGCCTGCAGTACTGCATTCTAACACTGTGCCACCATTTTGGAATCCAGGTTTCCAAACAATCCTTCAAACAAAAGAACTATTTGATAGCAGAGAACTTAGGGGAAGCTTACATGGCTGAGCGCTCCAGAGAAGCAGGTGTGGGCAGCAGAGACATCTCCCTTTTTCCAATAAACCTCGCCTAATTGATTCCACGCCTCCACCAATTCTGGGTCCAGCTTGACTGCTTTGGAGAGCAATTCTTCAGACTGGGCATTATAGTCTGTTGATACATTCAAAGCTTTCCCTTTAAGCATCAGTGTGTACGCTCGCCCTTCTGATAAGCCTAATAAAAGTGGAGGGGGGAAAAAAGAGAGATTCCATTCATATGTTATTGTCCCCCAAAAATAAAAAAAAGTCCACCTAATATTGAGCTGTAAGTAATTATATATTTCTTTTTGCCAGTTCATTTTTTTCTCTTCCATTTGCTGTTCAATGTACAGATGTCTGTTCAATGTACAAATGTCACCGATATAATTCGATACAAAAACCATACAAATGGCAATTGAAATACGCTATCTTAGTAAGTAATGGTAAATCTGAATTCCAGATATAAACTTTCATGGGTTTTGCTATATCAACTAATGCAGGTAGTCCTCACTTAACAAGCACAATTGGGACCAGCAGCTATGTCTTTAAGTGATGCATCTGTTAAGAAAAATGATGTTCAACTGCACCAGAGTTACATCAGTTCCACTATGTTCATTACATCATATGAATCACATGACATCACGTCATCACAAATTGCAACTTCCTGATGGCTTCTCCATTGACTTTGCTTGTTAGAAGCTGGTTCTGAAGGTTGCAAATGGCGATCCTATGACTACAGGATGCTGCAACCATCATAAATGAACACCGGTCGCAAAGTGCCCGAATTGCAGTCACATGATCATGTGGCCACTGCGAGAACTGCATGGATCAGTTGTAAATCTATTTTTTTCCTAGCACTGTCATAGTTCAAGCAGTCACTGAACAAAGCAGTGGGTAAATGAGGATTAGCTGTAAAATTTCCATTTTTTCTTCTGATTTCTGGTATTTTTAATTATTACATTTAGGGAATATTCAAATTGTTTTGATTGTAGAAGTCCTAACAGATCTTTGGCTGCTACAAATGCTTGAGATGATTTGTCTGTAAAGTTGTTGATAATTCACAAAAGTGAATTTTCAACTGTCTTTTACAAGATTAGAACGCATAATAGCAATCGCACTAAGACAGATTTAAGTTTTAAATTTCTTTGCTTAAATGACCCTCAGATTTTCTTCCAATTAAAATCAAAGTTAATTATCAACAGAAAACTAAGCATGTCCTCACATTGACTAATGAATTGTGAGCTGCCCAAAGTCATTTGCTGAGCAACTCATAATTCATTAGTATACAAATGAAATAAGCAAGTAAGAAAATTAGTTAGTTAAAGGATTTCCCAGAACCATCTGTTGCTCATTATGGGAAATAGGATCTAGACCAGTGATGGCGAACCTTTTAGAGACTGAGTGCCCAAACTGCAACCCAAAACCCAAATGCATCGTCGAGTGCCAGGTGGGTGTGGCCCATTGGCTGGGTGTGGCCAATTGGGTAGGCCTGGCCCATTGGGTGGGTATGGCTGTGGTGGTAACGGCAGACTAGGTGGGACTAAAAAGTTCAATCAATCAATTCCAACTTTGCAAGATCTTTTTTTTTCCCCACAAGAAGTTGAAATTGACTGATTGAACTTTTTTTTTTTTTTTTTGCACACGGCGGCGGAGGCCTAAAGCGAAAAAGTTTTATAAAATCCAGTTGAAGGCCTAGGACTGGGGTGATGGCATGCATGCCTACAGAGAGGGCTGAGTGCTGCCTCTGGCACCCATGCCATAGGTTTGCCACCACTGATCTAGACTACTTAAATACAATCTACATGGGGCTGCCCTTGAAGGCCACTCAGAAGTTACAACTGGTCCAGAACACAGCAGCACAGTGTTGGGTACATCTAGAAGTGCCTTCCTGATGTAATTCAAGATGCTGGCCATTGCTTTTAAAGCTCTACATCACAGGGGACCAAAGTATTTGTGAGACCACCTTTCCCTCAGGGTATTTGCCTCTCCCCCTTGATTGGATAGGGTAAGCAAGTTCCAGGCCTCATTTTGCCCTCAAGGGAACTTGGGAAGCATGCCATTTTTGTGGCTGTCTCTATGGAATATCCTCCATCCCACAGTCCAACAGGCCCCCATCTTCTTAACCTTCCAGAAGGCAATTAGAATTTTTTTTCCAAGGGACTGGGTCAAAGGGTGGAGTCCATGGCTGCTTGTTAGGGAACCTTGGAAGATTGTTTACAGCACCAGGTTTTTAATTTTTGTGCCATGGCTTTTATGCTTTTTGCCGTTTTACGGTCCTTGTGAGCCACCCAAAGTTCTTTCAAAATGGGTGACTGTCCAAATCTTTTAAATAATTAATTAAAACAAACAAACAATAAAGACTTCTGGTAGGCAAGTCATAATCACAATATCAAAATGCTGAAATGAAGAAAATTTGGGTATATGGGACTGGATGTTTTTGAGGGAAGGATTATACTTAATCATTTGTCAGATCTACTTCTGTCAGATGTAAAGAATCTGGACCATTTGTGCAGATTGCAGCATAAAAAAAATTATTGAGGCCTAGACACTAGAATCTGGTCAACTAACGGTCAGTGCAAAATTGGCATTAGATAAGGATCAACAGAATTCAAGAAGAGCTGGACTCTTGTGGCAATACAAGGACTCTAAATTGCTGGTATGTTTAATTGTGTCTGCCCCAGTTGTGCCTTTTCTGTTCCTACAACTTCCCCTTCTCTCAAGGTACTAGACTCTTCAATTCTATGGCTGCATTATATGTACTGGTATATTTGAAGGACCTGGTAATGAAACAAAACAGATGCCTTAAGATGGTGATACAGAACTGCAAGTTATGTGTGAATTACCACTTATGGCTTCCATTTTTTGAAGAGTCTTCTCCATCTCTTCCTGAACATCCTGTCGTTTTTTTCCAGCATCTTCCACACTGTGGTTCTCAAAATAATGATCTCGGAAATGATACAGGTGGTCAACCAATTCCTATTCATAAATGGATAAATACTGTCAGATCTCCCAATAGCGATGTCTTGCCAATACAAAATACACCGACATTTGCGAAGGGATGGCCAAACTGACAAACCCAGGTTGCGTACCATAAACTAAGCATTTGTCAGTATCGAAGCTAAAATGTAATTGCCCAATTTGAAATTTATCGTGTCCATTCCATGCAAACCTGGCAGCTCAACTGATATCATGTCTTGCATGCAAACCTGGCAGCTCAACTGATATCATGTCTTGACTTAGCAAAAGATCATTCATATATATATATATATATATATACTATATTCCACAGCACAGAACCACTATTTTTACATAACAAAACCAACCAGCATATTTAACCTCCTCGTGGAATAGCCACAGATTAATACAGAAATCTTTGATCCTAAAGATCACGGAGTGAAACGATGGCTCACTCCGGACGCAGCAATTAAGACTGGATTTCTCTGATCATTCTGAGATTTTAGGAATCCAAGAAAACCTGGGGAGATCTACAAAGGGACACCCTTCTCGGCACCCAAAGCAGGAGGGCATATACAAATCCCTTTCTACTTCTCAATCGTTGTCCCCTGCTCTGTCTACTTCGTCCCTTCCAGCGTTGCCTAAATTACTGAGCTGTGAAAATTGCTAGAGGAGCATATCGGCTAGCGAAAACCAAATATAAAGCAGAAGCTTTGCCAGCTGCTTTTGCTCGTCCACGGCTTCTTAAAACGCTGCTAGCTTTGGACAGCGCGTCCTGCACAACAGCTCAGTTAGTTATCTGCCTGCGTAAATCCGAGAAAAGCTCTGGGACTTTGCTCTATCCCTTTCCCCAGAAGAGGACGCGCGGGCATTTCTAAAATTATTTATTATTATTTAAATCGTGGCTTTAAAATGCAGAGGGGAGAAAAACTCTCTGTTGCTGGCCGTTACCTGCAGACGTTGCCGACCTTGCGAGTTTTCTTCTTCGTCCTCGGCCATGATAGCTGCAGCCTCCCCTCCCTTTCCTGCTCTCTCTCTCGCTCTCTCATTCTTGCAAGCACGGAGGGAGGTAGAGGCCTCTAAAGGCTGGGAGGACTCGGAGCAGTTCAGACGTAGCGGGAGGAAGAATTCAGAATCAGGATCAGAATAGAGTTGGAAGGGACCTTGGAGGTTTTCTAGTCCAGCCCCCTGCTCAAGCAGGAGACCTATATCATTTCAGACAAGTGGCTGTCTAGTCTCTTCTTAAAACAACGTCTGAAGGGAACCGGTTCCACTGGTTTATTGTCCTCGCTGTTCGGAAGTTTCTTCTTAATTTCGGGTTGCTCCTCTCCTGGATTAGTTGCTTCTTGTCTTGTCTTCTGGTGCTTTGGAAAATAAGGTGACCCCCTCAAATACCAGAATACTGCTATCATGTCTCTCCCCCCCCCCCAGTCCTTCTTTTCTCTAGACTAGCCAAACCCAAATCTTGCAACTGTTCTTCATACGTTTTAGCCTCCAGGCCTTTATAATCATTTTATTGCTCTTCTCTGTACTTTTTCCAAAGTCTCAACATCTTTTTTGTAATGTGGTGACCAAAACTGGATGCAGTATTCCAGGTGTGGCCTTACTAAGGCTTTTTAAGGCGGTACTAATACTTTATGTGATTTTGATTCTGTGTCTTTGTTTATACAGCCAAGGATTGTTGTATTATTAACTTGCAGGGCAACAGTAACTTTGGTTTTTTTCTATTTTCATAAGAAGAATAACAGAATAGCAGAGTTGGAAGGGACCTTGGAGGTCTTCTAGTCCAACCCCCTGCTCAGGCATGAAACCCTATACAATGTCAGACAAATGGTTGTTCAATCTCTTCTTAAAAACCTCTGGCACCCACAATTTCTGGAGAGTATTTCTAACCAAGGATCCTGCTTTAGACCAGTGTTTCTCAACCTTGGCAGATTGAGTGGACTTCAGCTCCAAGAATTCTTTGAAAAAAAAATCTCCCAGGAGATTTTTATGAAGAGATTGGACAACCATTTGTCTGAAATGGTATAGGCCAGGGACTCCTGCCTGAGCAGGGGATTGGACTAGAAGACCTCCAAGGTCCCTTCCAGCTCTGTTATCATGCTTTCCATGATGTATGTCCATTTTGTGGGGGGGAAATCAACAACCACCAATTCTCCCCTGGTATCCATTTATCCATAATTTCCTCTCAAAATTGTAGATGTGCCCCGAGCCCAAAAAAGTTATATATTGCTTTTCTATATTTTATGGAAGCATCAAAAACAGTAATTCAGGAAACAAAGAAAGCAAAAAATCCATAACAATTCAGAAAATGGGCCTTTTTTTCTCCAAACTTAGAAATAAAAATTGGGGTTTGATTATGATTGGTACCCTCAGAATAACTGATTTCAGAAATCAGAACTAAATAGGTCAAGGAATGGAGTGGCATGCTGCAATAGGGTGTTGTAAGTTTGAATCATGAAGAATAAACTCCTATTAGAGGATTTGAAAATGTTTTCAAATGTTTTAATTCAGCTCCTAAGAAACCAGGTTAGAAAGCTGGAGACCATGAGTTCTAATCCTGCCTGATTAGAAGTGAGCTGGGTGACTTTGGGTGACTCACCAGGAAACAGTGATTTCTAGTCCTGTCTTAGTCATGAAAGATGACTGGGTGACTTTGGGCCACTCAATCTCTCTCAGCGCAACACACAACACGCAGCTGTTGTGGGAAAAATAGGAAGAGGAAGGTGTGTTGGATATGTTTGCTACCTTGAATTATTTGTAAAATTAACAAAGGTAGAATACAAATAAATACATATGTTCACCACTTTGAGTTGTTTGTAAAATAATAAAACCAGGATACAAATATATAAATAAATTCCCTCACTCTCTATGTCACCATGTCCATATGTAGTACATCCCATGCTTGTGAGATTTCATTTTAAACAGTAAATGCTTTTCATGCTCATTTTGCCCATCTTAACCTTCCTTTGATCAGAGTGATTTTAGAAGTATTACAAAGTGATATAGTGAAATACCGTGAGATCAAGGCTTGCATTTACCATAAATCTATTAAATAAATGGAATTAATAATCATTACTAATTTAAGGCCCATTTGGTATATTTTACCTGTTACAATTCAACATAGAGAAAATCATATGGATGATTGTGATCCAGTGATTTGATTTATCAAATAGATGAAGTGCTTGAAGCAACACAGCCCTCATAATTTAGGTTCATTTAAAGAAATTAATAAAATGATTCTCCTTCAACATCCAAGTGGTAAAAAAGGAGGAGGAGGAGGAGGAGGAGGAGGAGGAGGAGGTCGTGGTCTATTTTTTCTGATGACCAGAAAAACATTTCATGCTTAATGACAAAACACAAAAAGGACATCCACAGATGTTTATACCAATGGAAATATATACACACAGGTAATTTTTTTCCCCTCCATATATTTTTATTTACAAGTAACAATGAAACAAAGAAAAAATCCTTGCAAATATATTTACACACCCATCGAAGAAAACATGCTGTTTTAAGATGTGAGAGTTGAAAACAGTCACCAGTGGATTAAAACATTATAACAAGCTTGTTACAATAAGCAATTATTAAGTGTTTGAGCACTAATTAAACTGCGTCATAATGCACAATAATTAAATCACTGCAAATGTGTCAGAAGTGTTGTGTTTGCAAGGAGGTTGCTATATAGAGGAACAATGACAAGCTGTATACTGTTAACAAACTCATGCACATGTAAACTATGGTAACCCAGTATACTATCTAACCGTTCAAAAAACATTGACTTTGCAAAGTGTCCCTCTCTTGCTTTAACATATGACATGGCTCGGAAAATATTTGACGTTCACTGATGTAACGAAAAGTTGGTTTCTTGGGTTGAGATTTTGTTTAGTTTTAAACCTCGGGCCTGTAAATATTGAACTGGGTTTTCAGAAGTTCCTGCAGTTGAACTGAAATGCACATTAGGATTTACATTCTCTTAATTTTATACGCTCTGTTGCCTCCTGCGTGGTGTTCCAAATCATTGTCAGGAGAGGCAAAGGAAAAGAAGCCGTTGGCAGACTCGCCCATGGGTGGAGAGGAGGCAAAGAAGGGCTTGAAATGGAAGTCCCCCTCACCATGCCGGCCCTGGATAGGTGTAGTGTTCCGAGAGAATCTGGCAGCGTTACCTAGAACATGTGAGTGAGAAACATGATGTTAGAGAAGGGCTTAAATTTCCTCTCCTGTAAAAATGGCCTTATTAGCTACATTGGTGCCAAACACTGATACATGCACGTAATAATAATAATAATCATCATCACCATCACAATAATAATAATAATAAAGTTGGTAGGGACCTTGAAGGTCTTCAAATCCAACCCGCTGCTCAGGCAGATAACCCTATACCATTTTGGACAAATGGCTGTCCAGTCTCTTCTTAAAAACTTCCAGTGTTGGAGCATTCACAACTTCTGGTGGCAAGCTGTTCCACTGGTTAATTGTTCTAACTGTAATTTCTCCTTAGTTCTAGGTTGCTTCTCTCCTTGATGAGTTTCCACCCATTGCTTCTTGTCCTGCCTTCAGGCGCTTTGGAGAATAGCTTGACTCCCTCTTCTTTGTGGCAGCCCTGAGATATTGGAAGACTGCTATCATGTCCCCCCTCGTCCTTCTCTTCATTAAACTAGACATACCCAATTCCATCAACCTTTCCTTATATGTTTTAACTTCCAGTCCCCTAATTATCTTTGTTGTTCTTCTCTGTACTCTTTCTAGAGTCTCAACATCTTTTTTACATCACGGTGACCAAAACTGGATGCAGTATTCCAAGTGTGGCCTTACCAAGGCATTGTAGAGTGGTATTAATACTTCGTGTGATCTTGATTCTATGCCTCTGTTAATGCAGCCCGGCACTGTGTTGGCTTTTTTGGCAGCTGCAGCACACTGCTGGCTCATATTTAAATGATTGTCCACTAGGACTCCGAGATCCCTCTCACAGTTACTACTATTGAGCAAGGTACCCTCTAGAGAGATTATATTTAGGTGAGAGATCCATAATCAGAATCTCTCTTTATTTTTAAAGTAAACCATATTACAGATACAGGAAGTAGGAATCTATACTTTGATGCTAGGGACAAGTTACTGAAATATTTCTTCACAATTTTCCAATTTAAACTCCCAAAGCTATTTGCTCCAGAAGAGAAAACATGCAAATATTGATTGGCATCATATTTATTCAGGAAGCCCTTAATATCCAGATTGTTTAAAAATAGCTTAGATTCAAAATAATAGCTAAAAATGGATGGGATTCATTTTTATGTTTCATGTTACAATTCCCAAACCCCAAGACAGAACAACATACTGCTTTTCTTGCAGTTTACTGATGCAGTCTATGTTTTGTATGATCCAATGCATGCAAGTAATCAGAAAAAACCTTCACAGTCATAAAAAGCAGATGTTATTTTTCCCTATGGTTATGCATTGACACAACGTAAGTAGAGAACAGTCAGTCAGTGAAATGTGATAATTAAAAGGTCTAGTTAACCACTATGTTATGATAATACATTTTTAAATTGCTAGGAAAGCCAGATATGCTCAGTAAGTTATTAATGGGAGCATAACATAGTATATAATACTTGCCACACTCATGTAGTTGTCTAACGCCCAGTATCTTTATCAGTCCTATGTCATTTTAATAATGCTCTGTGTGTATGGATTTCATCCAAGCATTATTCACCCTGTCAATGAAGTGCTTGTGAAGTATCATACTAAAAGTCACCATTCTTACCCAGAGGGAAACCAAAAACAGCAGGCTGAGGCATCATGGCAGGCTCTTGTCCTGCCTCCTGATTGGCCACAGCAATATTCCGTAATCTCAGGCTGTCATACAAGCCCTGCAGTTTTTGGTACTGACGATTACGCTCCATGAGTTTCTCTGACAGCTCAGTGAATTTCTTTTTGTATTCCTCCAATACTTTCTTTAAGGAAGAGACTTCACTCTTCATAGATGTCAGCTCCATATCTTTGCTCTGGAGTTGCTGAGTGTAGACTTTCTCCATTTGCTTCAGATGGCCCTCTGCTTTGCTGTAAGTATATTCTTGATACAGGCGCTCTTGATGGACCTACGTAAATATAAAGAACAAATAG